GTGAGGGCAGGGGGAGCCCTCTCATTTTGCTTTGGGAGAGGTGGGAAGGGTAAGGGCAAAAGTGCAGGAAATTGTCGGATATGGCTGAGAGCCCTGCCTTGGTAGGAGAGAATCCTTGGTTGAAGAAAGATTAAGACATATCACAAGTACCCTTTGGAATGTGGTGTCACTAGAACAGATGCAACGGAGAAACTGGAAGAATGGAATAGAATCTTGCAGGGTGCAAGGTGTGAGCAAGTGCAGTCAAGGTAACAGTGGGATTTGATGGGCTTTTGATGGATGTTGGTGGACAATCTATGCTCAGGAATGGCAACAGAGAAGTCAAGAAAGGGAAGGGAGAAGTCAGAGATGGATGAAGTGAAGATGAGAGAAAGATGAAAATTGGAATAAAAATTGACTGGTGTTTTGAATTCCAGATGAGAGAACTGATGAAATCATCAATTTACTGGAGAAAGGATTGTAGGGGAGACTGAAAAAAGGAACATACCACATACCCCAGAAAGAGACAGGCATAACCGGTACCCAAATCACCACCTTTGATTTGGAGAAAGTGAGAGGAATTAACGGAGAGATAGTAGGAACTGCAGATGCTGGAGAATCTGAGATAACAAGGTGTAGAGCTGGATGAACACAGCAGGTCAAGCAGCATCAGAGGAGTAGAATTGTTTAAAAGTTAGAACAAGCCCTGCTAGGTGAAGGAGGGTAATGCTGATGGATGGAGACTGTTCAGGTCTCCTTTCAAGGAAGAAATGGACAGCCTTCAGACCATCCAGATGAGAGATGGACATGTAAACGGATTGCAAATCCATGATGAAGAGGAGATGGCCAAGGCCAGGAAACTGCACATTGTGAACCTGATGTAGAAAAATCAAGAATATAGTTAGAAAGAGTCTGAATGGAGGGAGGAATAAAAGACTCAAGCCAGGAAGATATAGCTGCAGTGGAGTGGGAACAGGCTGAAATGATGGGTCAGCTAGGGCAGGGCCTTTTATGGATTGTGGATTTCTGAGTGGAATCAATGCCCCTCCTTCTTGCCCCCATTATTCTGTTTTGAGAATGAGATGCAGTCAGGGGACTCCTGCGCGACCTGTCTGTCTTCCTTGGCTGCCCAATGCTTACTCATTCTCTCTCTGCCTGCCCACCCTTCAACTGTGTGGTGGTCACTTATGCAAAAGTTTTACCTATGGATATACTTCAATGATACCAGCTGCTATCAAAATTCTGAAAAATAGAGCTCAAGCTCCTTCAACTGGTGACTCACTGTTACCTGCTTCCCTTGGGAATGGGAAGCATCCTGAAATTGCCACATGGAACACGAGAAGAAATTCAAGAGACTGAGGTACTTAGAAGTATGACAATTTACGAGGTTAAGAGAAATAAACTCAACACTCAAATACCAGCTACTTACCATGTGCAGCAGGTAGTGAGGAAGGCAAATGGTATGTTGGCCTTCATGGTGAGAGGATTTGAGTACAGGAGCAGGGATGTCTTCCTGCAATTTTACAGGGCCACATCTGGAGTATTTTGGTCTCCTCACCTGGGAAGAATGTTCTGGCTATGGAGAGAATGCAGTGAAGATTTACCAGACTGATTCTTGGGATTGCAGGATTGATGTACAAAAAGAGACTGGCTCGGACTATGTTCTCTGGAGTGTTCACTGGAGTTTAGAAGAATGGGGAGAGGAGGTGGGGGAGTCTCATCAAAACCTATAAAATTTTAACAGGATTAGACAGGGTAAACACAAGAAGGAAGGAACAATGATTAGAAAGTCCAAACCGAAGGGTCACAGTCCAAGTGTACAGGGTAGGCCTTTTAGGACTGAGATTAGGAGAAGTTTCTTCACCTAGAGAGTGGTAAGTCTGTGGAATTCTCTGTCAGGGAGAGTGGTTGAAGCCAAAACTTTGAATATTTTCAAGAGGGATTGTTCATAGGGCTAAAGGGATCAAAGGTTATGGGATGAAATTGAGAACAGAGAACTGAATTGGATGATCATATTAAAATGAAGAGTAGGCTCAAAAGGCCTTCTCCTGTTCCTCTTTTCGGTTTCTGTGTGTCTATTAATCAGTTCCTTCCGCTGTGCTCATGTCACTTTATACATTAAGGTAATGGTTTAACTTAACTCTTATTATCTGTATATCCCAGATGTCAATTTTATGAAAAATTAGGAATCCTTTAATAATGAATCTCTCTCTTTATTTAATCTTAAATTTGTTCCCTTAGATCTATTGATAATTTATCATAGAATTTGTATTTAATTAATCAACGTAGGTCCCTAAACTACTGGGCCTAGCCTCAGGAATAGCGATTCAAGGACATGGGACCATTGAAATTGTGAGATGAAAAGACCAGGGTGCAGCTAGTGTGCCTTCTATTATCCTGATAGTCACCTGATACTGCAATAATGGAGTTATTGACTAATCATAGCTAATCAAATCTCTGTTAGTAGTCCCAAACTTGAGCAAGTGAATATGTCAGTGATGGAGACTTTTGGGAATGATAAGTCTGAAGGCATTTGTTCCTCCCAATCAATTCATACAATACATGTCATGTTACTAATTTATGGTATCTTAAAATGCAGGATGTGAGATTAAATGGAACCTCACCAGCTTACTGGGGCTTCCCTCGCTCCCTTTCACAACCACAGAAACTGCTTGCTTGATGTTCTTTGCCCAACAACACCAACAACTTGAAAACTCCTATCAGCTCTCCACATAACCTTCCTCTATCTAAGGAAATCAGGCCTAAGTTTGTTAATCTATTCTTTTCATTGATGTTTCTCATTCATGGAACATTCTTGTAAATCACTTTTGCACTCTCTCCAATGCGTTCACATCTTTCCTATAATGTGGTGTTCACAATTATACACAACTCTCCAGCTGATCTCTAACAAGCGTCTTGTGCAAACTCAGCATCATCTCCTTGATCTTGTACTCTCTGCTCCCATTAGTAATGAAGAGAACACTGTATGCTTTATTAAGTCAAGGCAAGGGAATACATGATGAATGACAGGAACCTGGGAAACACCAAAGATCAGAAAGACTTTAAGCACAGGTGGATAAAGTGCTTAAGACGGCACATGGTATACTGCTGTTGTTAGCCGAGGCAGAGTTGTGCTGGAACTGTATAAAAAGTTAGGCCATGGATCTAGAGTATTGTGTGCCATTCTGAAATCCACATTATAGGAAGGATGTGGTAGCACTGTAGAGGGTGCAGAGGAGGTTTACCAGGATATTGCCTGGACTGGAGAGTTTCAGTTATGACGAGAGATTGGATATTGGATAGACTGGGGTTGCTTTCCTTGGAGTACAGGAGACTGGGGTGGTGGTGGGGGGAGGGGTAGTGGGGAAAACGTGAAACACGATTGAGATGTGTAAATTTATAGATAGAGCAGACAGGAAGAAAGTTTTCCCTTTGGTGGAGGATCAATGACTGGGGGCACAGATGTATGATAATGGGTAGGATGTTTAGAGGGGATGTGAGGATTTTATTTTACCCAGAGCATGATGGGAATCTGGAACTCACTGCCTGTGAGGATGATAGAAGCAAAACCCCTCATAACAAATAAGTATTTACATGTACATGTGCGATACCAAGGCGTACAAGGCTATGGGTCAATGCTGGAAATGGCATTAGAATAGTTAGCTGGTTGTTTTTCACTGGTGTAGACTCAGTGGGTTGAATGGCATTTTTCTGTGCTGTAGTCCTCTATGGCTATGACTATGAGTCTAGGTCATCTCTCCACCTTCAATGATCTGTGCACATGCACATCCAGGCCCCTCTGATCATGCATCCCCTTTAGAATTGTATCCTCTATGACATATAGTCTTTCAATGTTCTTCTGACCAAAGTGCATCATCTCACACTTCTCTGCATTGAAACTCATCTGCAATCAATGCATCCACTCCACCAGCTTTTCAATGTCCTTTTGGAGTTTTCCACTATCCTTCTCATACTTTACATTTCTTCCAAGATAATGTCCCCTACACAAGATCCAGATCATCAATATATATCAGGAAAAGCAAAGATCTCAATAACAATTCCTGGGGAACTCCACAACAAGCCTCTTCCAGCCCCCAAAAATAAAATCTATCGACCATTTTCTCTGTTTCCTATCACTCAGAATAATTTTGTATCCAAGTTGCTACTGTCCCTCTTATACCATGACCTGTAACTTTCCTCACAAGTCTGTTGTGTGGCACTATATCATACGCCTTTTGGAATAGGAGTTCCAGGATTTTAACTGAATGGCAGTGAAGGAACAGTAACATAATTTCAAAGCAGGACAGTATGACTTGGAGGAATGTGTGGAGTTGTTACTGTTCCCGTGGACCTGCTGCCCTTGTTGTTCTTAATGGTAAAGATAATGGCTTTGGAAACTGTTAATGAGGCTTGAGGAGTTGCAGGACAGCAGAGCTTAACTCTGATTAATTTGTAGTGGGATTGCTTAGCCCTGTCTATTGCACGCTACTTCTGCTTTTTTGGCATGCAGGTGGTTCTATATATTAGCTTCAGCAGCTTGTCACCTCAGTGTTAGGGATGCCTGGTGTAGCTCCTGGCTTACCGTTGTATGCTCTTCAATGAACCAGCATTTGTACCTCGTTTGGCAGTAACAGTAGAGCAGGAGATACGCTGGGTCATGAGGTTACAGATTGTCTTGAAGTACGGTTCTGCTGCTTATGGCCCACAATGCCTCATGCATGCTGCCAGTCTTGAGTTGCTGGATCTATTTGTAGTCTATCCCATTTAGCACAGTGATACTGCCACTCAGCCTGGATGTGGAACCAGGTGCAGAGTTCATGTTCACTCACAGTTGCACATGCTGTGCCCAAATCCTGGATGACACATGGGGACAATTTCCAGCCGGTCTCTACATGTTAGGCTTCCTTCACCCTCTCGAAAAATGTAAGAAGGGATATGGTTACAAACTTTCGTGGACATTATAATTTGCATTTATGGTATATGTTTCACATGGATTTATTACTTGCCTCTTGAACCTGTAGGCCTTGAAAAATTGCCAAAACCCAAGAACGTGTTTGTAAATTCGACCAACATGAGGCACATCCTGAGGTGGAGTCCTGTGAGAGTTCCTGTGGGAGAGATCAGTTACTCAGTACAGTTTCAAGGGTATGTACAACAACAAGCGATTCATTGTGTCAAAGGACCATGAGTTATCCCTTTTAGGACTTACAGAATTAAAGGACTTAGAGTTATACAGTCATAGAGATATACAGCACGGAAACACACCCTTCGGTCCAACTCGTCCATGCTGACCAGATATCCTGTTTGAACCTCGCCCCTTTGGCAGCATTTGGCCCACTTCCCTCTAAACCCTTCCCATTCATATACCCTTCCAGATGCCTTTTAAATGTTATAATCATACCAGCCTCCAACACTTCCTCTGGCAACTCATTCCATACGTGCACCACCCTCTGCGTGAAAAAGTTGTCCCTTGGGTCCCTTTTGTATCTTTCCCCTCTCACCTTTAAATCTATGCCCTCTAGTTTTGGAATCTCTCAACCTGGGGAAAAGACCTTGCCTATTTACCCTATCCATGCCCCTCATGATTTTTATAAATCTCTATAAAGTCACCCCTCAGCCTCCGACACTCCAGGAAAAGTAGCCCCAGCCAATTCAGCCTCTCCCTATAGCTCAAGCACTTAAACCCAGGCAACACCGTTGTAAATCTTTTCTGAACCCTTTCTAGTTTCACAACATCTTTCCTATAGCAGGGAGGCCAGAATTGCACGCAGTACTCCAAAAGTGGCCGAACCAATGTTTTGTACAGCCGCAACATGACCTCCCCACTCCAGTACTCGATGCACTAACCAATAAAGGCACGTATATCAAATGCCTTCTTCACCATCCTATCTACCTGCGACTCCACTTTCAAGGAATTATGAACCTGCACTCCAAGGTCTTTGCTCAGCAACACTCCCAGGACCGTACCGTTAAGTGTATATGTTCTCCCCGATCTGCCTTTCCAAAAAACAGCACCTCACATGTATCTAAATTAAACCCCAACTGCTGTTCCTCAGCCCATTGGCCCATCTGATCAAGATCCAATTGTACTCTGAGGTAAACTTCTTTGCTATCCACTACAGCTCCAATCTGTGTCGTCTGTAAACTTATTAACCATATTCCCAGTGTTCACTCCAAATCATTTATATAAATGACAAAAAAACAGTGGACTGAGCACTGATCCTTGCAGCTGGGTGCAGGCCTCCAGTCTGAAAAGCAACCCTCCACCAACACCCTCTTGTCTTCTACCTTTTGACTAGTTCTGTATCTAAATGGCTAGTTCTCCCTGTATTCCGTGTGATGTAACCTTGCTAATTAGTCTACCATGAGGAATCTTGTTGAATGCTTTATTGAAGTCCATATAGATCGCATCCACCACTCTGCCCTCATCAGTCCTCTTTGTTACTTCTTCAAAAAACTCAATCAAGTTGGTGAGACATGATTTCCCACGCACCAAGCCATGTTGACTATCCTTAGTCAGTCCTTGCCTTTCCAATTACATGTAAATCCTGTCCCTCAGGATTCTTTCAAACAACTTGCCCGATGTCAGGCTCACTGGTCTACAGTTCCCTGGCTTTTTCTTACCACCTTTCTTAAATAGCGGTACTACATTAGCCAACCTCCAGTCTTCCGGCACCTCACCTATGGCTATTGATGATACAAATATCTCAGCAAGGAGCCCAGCAATCACTTCCCTAGCTTCCCACACAGTTCTAGGGTACACCTGATCAGGTCCTGTGGATTCATCCACCTGTATGCGGTTTAAGACATTCAGCACCTCCTCCTCTGTAATATGGACATTTTTCAAGATGTCACTATTCATTTCCCTACATTCTCTATTTTCCATATCCTTCTCCACAGTAAACACTGATGCAAAATACTCATTTAGTATCTCCCCCATCTCCTGTAGTTCCAATGGCCTTGCTGATCTTTAAGGGGCTCTATTCTCTCCCTAGATACCCTTTTGTCCTTAATGTATTTATAGAATCCCTTTGGATTCCCTTTAACCCTATTTGCCAAACCTATTTCATGTCCTTTTTTTGCCCTCCTGATTTCCCTGTTAAGCATACTCCTACTGCCTTGATACTCTTCTGTGGATTCACTCGATTTCTGCTGTCTATACGTGACATAATGTTCCTTTTTATTCTTAACCAAAACCTCAATATCTCTCGTTATCCACCATTCCCTACCTCTACCAGCTTTCCCCTTCACCCTAACAGCAATATACTGTCTCTGAACTCTGGTTATCTCATTTCTGACAGTTTCCCATTTTCCAGCTGTCCCTTTGCCTGTGAACATCCACCCATAATCAACTTTTGAAAGTTCTTGCGTTATACTGTCAAAATTGGCCTTCCTCCAATTAAGAACTTTGACTTTCTGATTCAGTCTTTCGTTTTCCATCATTATTTTAAAACTAGTAGAATTATGGTCACTGGCACCAAAGTGCTCCCCCATTGACCTGCCCTAACTTATTTTCCAAGAGTAGGTCAAATTTTGCACTTTCTCTAGTAGGTACATCCACATACTGAATCAGAAAATTTTATTTTATACACTTAACAAATTCCTTTCCATCCAAGCCCTTAACATTGTGGCAGTCCCAGTCAATATTTGGAAAGTTAAAATCCCCTACTTTAACCACCCTATTATTCTTACAGATAACTGAGATGTTCTTACAAATAACTTCCCTGGATGTATTCCCAGAAACATCCTCCCCGACTACAACTGTAATGTCATCCTTAATCAAAAACGCCACTCCCCCTCCTCTCTTGCTGCCCTTTCTATCCTTCCTATGGCATCTATCCCTGGAACATTAAGCTGCCAGTACTGTCCACCCCTGAGTGTCTCTGTAATTGCCATGATATCCCAACCATGCCCTGAGTTCATCTGCCTTACCTGTTAGGCCTCTAGCATTGAAATAAATGCAGTTTAATTTATCAGTCCTACCTCATTCTCTGCTTTGCTCCTGCCTGCCCTGACTGTTTGACTTACTCCTTTTCCCAACTGCATCAGTCTCAGACTGATCTCTTTTCTCACTGTCACCCTGATCCCACCCCCACCTTATTAGTTTAAATCCTCCCCAGCAGCTCTAACAAATCTCCCTGCCAGTATATTCGCCCCCTTTCTATTAAGGTGCAATCCGTCCTTCTTATAAAAGGTCACTTCTAGCCCAGTAGAGATTCCAATGATTCAAAAATGTGAATCCTGCTCCCCTGCACCAGCTCCTCAGCCATGCATTCATCTGCTCTATCCTCCTATTCTTACCCTCACTGGTTTGTGGCAGTAATCCCGATTATTACTATCCTTCAGGACATCCTTTTTAAATTCCTGTCTAACTCCCTATATTCCCTCCTCAGAATCTCATGCTTATCTCTTCCAATGTCATAAGTTCCAACATATTCAACAACCTCCTGCTGGTCCCTCTCTCCTTTGAGAATATTCTGCACCCTCTCTGAGATATCCTTGATCCTAGCACCAGGAAAGCAACACACCATTCTGATGGCTTGCTGTCGGCCGCAGAAATGTCTATCACAACCTAATGTACTCCTTGTTACATTAGAGCCAGTCTCGGTACCAGAAACCAGGTTGTCAGTGCTACACTCCCCTGAGACTCCATCACTCCCCACATTTTCCAAAACAGCACAGTTGTTTGAGATGGGAATAGCCGCAGGAGATTCCTGCACTACCTGCCTCCCTCTCCTACCAGACCTGGAGATCACCCATCTACCTGACTGTATCTCTGGTTTATCTCCCTTCCTGCAACTGCCATCCATCATGTCCCCAGCTGCTGTAAATTCCTCATTGCCTCTGACTGCCGCTGCAACTGATCATTGCAATCCAATAGGATTCGCAACCAAACACACTTCCTGCAGACATAATCGTCAGTAACATGGAAACTCTCCCTAACCTCCCACATCCAACAGGAAGAGCGCATCACTCAACTAAAGGCCATCTTTGCACCTTAACATTCTACAGAACCAGAAAATAGCACAGTCTTACTGCTCTAAAAACACTGCTACAGGCTAACGTAGTACCTATGTCTTATATTTTGAAAGTTTAATCAATGGACAGATCTCAATAAAAACATATAATGAAAAAGAACCCACTCTCCTCACTATTGTAAATTTACAAAAAAAACTAGCCACGTACCTGCTCCCCTGCTGTGCTCACCCCACACAGGTTTCTCCAAGGTCAGCTGTGAATTTGGCGGTTTGTTTATTTTTCTTAAACAAACTCAGATGTCCAGAGATACTTGAAATCAAACAGCACAGGCAGTAGCTGTGAAGGTTCACTGCTGGGTCAGACAGCAGTGTTGGTTTCTTTCTCCATTGATTCACTTCCCACCATGTGGTCACTGCCTTTGTTTCCCTTCCTCCTTTATTAAAGTGTTGTTGTTTTGATCTTTTTTGCCCCCAAAGTTCCAAAACAATGCAACAGCTTATAAACAGAATTTGAGGAAATCAGCTCCAACACTTAAAATACCTCAGAAAAAGGAGCAGCTGTTAGAGCCACAAACTTTTCCTGCCCTTCCATTTGCATTGACTCGAAAGCTCTTGGCAGAAAGGGTTGCCAGGATTGGTCTGGAGTCTCCAGGAACTGAAGATCAATCTCCAGCACACTGCGTGTCTAACCCTGGAAAAAGAATCACAGGGACGTTGTGAAGGAGTGCATTGTTTTATTTTTGTCTCCTTCTTTGAACATTTCTCTTTACCAGATGTAAAAAATATTGAAAATGGGCGGCTGACATTTCATCATCATCCAACTGGATAAAGAATCTTTTTCATTTCCATTTTGCTTTGAAAGTCATTAAACCACAAGGATGGTTGTGTTGGCCTACTCATGGGCCAAGTCATGTGACAAAACCTCGAGGGATACATTTATGGTCACAGTTGGAAACCTTATTGACAGCAAATGATGTATAGTTGTAAAAGAGGAAATGCAGCAACTAATCAGGGCACAGCAGAATCCCGCAGATGGCAGTGTGATGATATGCTGTAACCCTGTTCTAGTGGTATTCATTGAAGGGTACAAGCTTTGACTTCAAAAGTCTTATGCAATCTTTTACATCTATCTGAACTGGCCATTGGTGCCTTAGTTTAACATCACAT